ATGGTAAATGTTTCTCCACCTCCTCACCTTCAATCTGCATGTGTCTTTAGGTCTGAAATGAGTCTCTTGTAGACAGCATATAGATGGGTCTTGCCTTTTTATCCATTCTGTCACACTGTCTTTTGATTGCAGCATTTAGTCCATTTACATTCAAAGTAATTATTGATAGGTATGTACTTACTGCTATTTTTTTAATATTTTTTTAATTTTATTTTTTTTATTATGTTATGTTAGTCACCACACAGTAAATCATTAGTTTTTGATGTAGTGTTCCACGATTCATTGTTTTCGTATAACACCCAGTGCTCCATGCAATATGTGCCCTCCTTAATACCCATCACCGGGCTAACCCCCACCCCCCCGCAAAACCCTCAGTTTGTTTCTCAGAGTCCATAGTGTCTCATGGTTTGTCTCCCCCTCCAATTTCCCCCCCTTCATTTTTCTCTTCCTTCTCCTAATGTCCTCCATGCTATTCCTTACATTCCACAAATAACTGAAACCATATGATCATTGACTTTCTCTGCTTGACTTATTTCACTTAGCATAATCTCCAGTCCCATCCACGTTGATGTAAAAGTTGGGTATTCATCCTTTCTGATGGCTGAGTAATATTCCATTGTATAAATGGGCCACATCTTCTTTATCCATTCGTCTGTTGAAGGGCATCTCAGCTCTTTCCACAGTTTGGCTATTGCGGACATTGCTGCTATGAACATTGGGGTGCATATGGCCCTTCTTTTCATTACATCTGTGTCCTTGGGTAAATACCCAGTAGTACTTATTGCTATTTTAAAACCTATTCTCTTTTAACTTTTTCTCTGTTACGCATGTGCAAAACATTCTTCGTATTTAGTATCTTGTTCTCACTGACCCCACAGAACTAAGGTAGAAATATTTTTTACTGAGTCTCTACTTTTCATGGCAATGCAGTCATTTGCATAAGTTGAATAAAAATCTGTCCTCCTTTTTACTGGGATATAATTTAACAAATTGTGTAATCAGGACCAAATCTGGAGGATCATCTTTGAGAATACATTCCATTCACTCGATATGACAAATCCCCAGTCTCCATTAAGGACACAGATATAATTGACATTTGAAAACCCATGCTTATAAGTCTTCCTCAGCAAACTGGTATCTGTTGTTGTACACTGTCCCAGCATCACAGGTAGTAAGAAAGATCACTGCCTAGCACGAAAAAAGAGGAATTTGCCCATGTCTGTAGGTATACAGGTGAAACCTGGTAGAGATTAATTTCTTATTTTGCAAATAATAGTGATAAAAAGAACTCTGGAGTGATAGGGACTATTAAAATTGAATTTTTTTATTCTATACATAATCTCCAGACAGAATCTAATTTGACAGACTAAGAAGTTGTTTAACACAATCTGGCTCTGAATTTGATGATTATACAACAAGGAACTTATGGAAATTAATAAAGCCAAAATAACACAACATTGCACTGAGATGAACCTCTAAATACTCTATAGAAGTTAATTATGACTACAAAAGGAGACTGTTAAACTATTCAACTTACAAATAAGGCAAAAAGTTGATTGTTGGACCATATAGGATCATGGTAGCACATTCTTTTTTTTTTTTTTAAAGATTTTATTTATTTATTTAACAGAGAGAGACACAGTAAGAGAGGGAACACAAACAGGAGGAGTAAGAGAGGGAGAAGCGGGCTTCCCCGCAGAGCAGGGAGCCCGATGTGGGGCTTGATCCCAGGACTCTGGGATCATGACCTGAGCCAAAGGCAGATGCCCAACAACTGAGCAACCCAGGCATCCCATGGTAGCACATTCTTTAACAAAACTGTGTAAGGGTCATCTAACTCTTAGGGGAAGGTAACTTTGTTTGAATTACTATTTACTATTGATTAGGGCAAAACTATGTAAAGTTAGATGTTAAGTTGTAGAAAACTGATAAAAATGGAAATGATTTCTGACCAGTACAGATGCAAATGATATTTTCTGATAGAGAAGATAACTCCAAAGGTATAGCTTTATTGTCATATAATATCATATAGTAATGTAGTATATCTTATATATTATATACATAATATATAATAGTATCTTTACAAAGTTTGTATCTAATCTAGCAATCTAATTTCAGCATTTCTTTGTTGCACTGACTATACACATGTTGGTTTCTCACTTTTCTTTTGAGTGGGTTTTGTCATCCTGATTTGTTCTTTCATTAATGTGCTAAATAAAACTTTTACTCATGCTCACTATCTAGTTGCAGGAGAATTATATATTTTTAAAAGATTTTCTTTATATGTGGGAGAGAGAGCACAAGTGGGGGGGAGGAGCAGAGGGAGAGGGAGAAGCAGATTCTCCACTTAGCAGGGAACCTGATGTGGGGCTCGATCCCAGGACCCTGAGATCATGACCTGAGCCAAAGGCGGACGTTTAACAAACTGACCCACCCAGGCGCCCCTGCATGAGAATTATATTTTTATCATTTTGAGAATGACACTTTCACAAAAAGATATAAGAAATCTCTACAGAAATGTTGATTTTGCTGGAGAAACAGGAACTCAGCTGAACTTCCAGGAACAACTACCAGAACTGCTCTATTTTTATTTCATTATCAATCAGATTAACAATTTAATTTTCACCAATAATCTCAGGAATATATATACTAACAATAATGATCAACTCACCATCATCAATTCATAATTTTACACATCCAGTGAAGAATGACCAGAATAATCCTCACAAACAAAAACAATTCCTTTGCTATGAAAGAGTATCCAAACTTCCAAATCTTTAAAATCACATGCCCACACCACTTCAGCCATCCCTGACTGCACAGCATGCAAGCAAAGAAAACTCCACAATTAAACCTGAAAATAAAGCCCCCTAGGTAACCATATTTGGAACGCCAGGTTTCAGGATACTCTTCAGTAGCCATAGTAATAGTATTAACTAAATACTGCAAGAATGCCACCTAACTATGCTAAAATAAAACTATTAATCCTTAAAAAACCCACCAAAATTTATTACAATGACATATCTAACCCTATCACTTAACAATAAGATTCTATGAGTCATACATGATGTATCAGACACAATATCAGCCTTTTCATCCGGAAGGCACATTTGCCAAAACATTAACTATGGCTGACTAACCCAATATATACATTCTAATGGAGCATCTCTAGTTTGTATGTGTCTGTTTCTTCATGTATGATGAGACACAGAGAGAGCCTATGTACGCACAGAAACCTGGAATACCAGGTTTTCACAAATGGAAACAGTATTTATAGGCTATATACTCCTATAAGAACAAGTTTTCTAAGATACTGTAATTACAAATCTACTTTCAGCTATCTCTTATATTAACACTAGTTAATAGAATGAAATTAAAGCAGAGAAGTGCATTTTTTTTTTAAAGATTTTATTTATTTATTTGACAGAGAGAGACACACAGCAAGAGAGAGAACACAAGCAGGGGGAGAGGGAGAGGGAGAAGCAGACCTCCCGCTAAGCAGGGAGCCCGACATGGGGCTCGATCCCAGGATCCTGGGACCACGACCCGAGCCGAAGGCAGACGCTTAATGACTGAGCCACCCAGGCACCCCGAGAAGTGCATTTTAACATAATGCTTTACTTAACACTATTTTTACACAAAAAAGGATCAAATAAGTTCTCAGGGTTAATATCAAAATATAAATAAAATTCCATTCCGGCCCAAGTATACAATTAAAAATACCTTAAGACTTATTTTCCTAATTATAATTACCTGATAAGAGAGCTGATACCCATACCACACTATCTCTGATGTTACAGGTGCTAGCAATGTGAATGCTTGCTGTCCTGTTGTGCTCAGATGTTTATTTTCAAAATTGAAGTCTCAAATGAGTGTATCTGATTGGTATAACCTAGGTCACGTGGATTCCCCCTAGACATATGATAAATTGGAATCTAAGTTGTTTTATTTTCTTTAATCTATCTTGGGAAGGCAGATTTAACTTTTATCGAATGCAAATGTGACCTTTGATTTTAGCCACTTTAAAATACTCAGGATAATTCTAAACTCTCTAACTTGTTATTTAAGCATTGCTATAATCTCCTCTCAACATGTTTTCCCAGGTTCTTCTCCAAATCTATCTCCCATTTCCTCCCTACCCACCTTTCTCTCCTTCCTTCCCTCCATTCTTCTCTTCCTCTTTCACACATGCATGCATGCACACCATATCCATTCTTGCTCCAGTATACTGTAATCTTTGAAATATACCACCATCATTGCCCATGGTTCCCATTACTAATGATCTTCCCTCAGCTCAAATGATACGTTTGCATCGAGTATTCAACTCTCTCAAGTAGAACCATTCACTCTTGCCTCTAAATTACACTGTACACAGCAATGCTTTATATTTTACCACACCTTCATTGTCTCCTTCTTCCAGAATCCCCCATCTCCATCCCTGAGACTGAGTTAGAAGTTGCTCTTGTGTGCTCCTAAGCAACCTAAAATTAACTCTAGTTCAGCACTTATCACAGTGTATTGTAATTGTCTCTTCTAGCCTGTGAACTCCATTAGGGCTGAGTGTGTTTTATTCACCATTGTATTCCATGTGCCTAGTACCCAAGAGGTACTCAATAAATATTTATTGAATGATAAGAAGAGGAGGCTGGAATAAATATGTTTCCCAGTCTGCCTCATCTATGACTATGAGCTACTCAAAATGCCTAGGAAAATGCTGTCTACATGGTAGATACAATGAAAGTTAATGAAACGCTTCGATAAAAAGGAATTAAATGACAAAAGTAAGTTTACAAGTTCATCTTCAGAATTTCCACTGAATGTAGAAAGCAGCAATTAGACTGACTGCATTCCTGGAAAAGTCCTCCTGTCAGTGCTATAGTTCTGCTACCAAACTGGGATGAAATTCTGTGTATGCTTGCCTTTATTTCTAGGAGCAGCACATGACTTCATATAGAAGAGACATTTAATGCAGGTTTATTGAGTTGGGGAATGTGTCTTACCCGTGATTGTACAAACCATTTGCCTGCATTCAGAGTCGACAGGAAACTCCACTTGAAGAAGCTAGCATGTGTGAAGGAGGCATTTGGCAGGACCTCCCTAATATTGGTTGTTCTTCTCAGGTCATTGTCATGCATGAGAAAAGGCATCTGATCGTAACTGCAGGCAGAAGAGGAAAAGAAGAGGGAGAAAGGCTGAACTCAGCCACCTTGGCAGATAAGGTTCTCAGAAAGCCCATTAATGTCACAAGTCTTACTAGCGTTCCTTACTCCCTCCCAAATCTCAGAAACATACTAAGTACTAGTCACTTACACTTTGATTTCAATATTTTTATGCTCTAGAAGTCAGTATTTAGTGACATATAATAATCATATTAGTGATGGTGAAAAAGTAGCTTCCCTCTCTAGGGGCTTTCTGGCAGCAAGAAAACTGTAGGTACAGTAATAACCTGAGAGTAAGGTGAATGGGGTAGGGATGGGGCAAAGCTCTGAGGTCCCAAAACCACACTAATCTCCCTGTTCTGACCCATTTCCCAGGTAGGTACCTGCCCTGAGTATTTCTGGCCCTAGACTTTTCATATCAGATGGTATCATTAGAAAAGTTCCTTGTTCTCTTATCTGTTATTTGCCTTGAAGTATCTCCGGTTTTATGAAAATCTCTCTTCCTTTCTCATTAAAATACCTGTGAAGAGAACTCTGTAATGGCCATGAGGGTGTAACAGAACTAAGACTTTGCCTCCTGCCCATAAACAACTAGAAAACTGAACAAAATAAGGAAGATAATTCTTTTCAGCCCAGTGGGGAACTGGGAGCACAATATGATTATCTCTGAGAAAAGGTAAACAGATGAAACTAGCTCTTCCATTACTCAGGCTTCCTTTTTGCAGGTGTATACTAGACTGTGGCACAGAGAGGGGGAACCTAAAATGGACCCAGCTAGCATGATGATTTGAGTAGAAAGAGAACAGATTAAAGAGAGGTCAAGATAGCTAGAATTTGTGGGATAGAGTCTCACCAAGAATGGAGCTCTGAAGAAAAAAAAAAAAAAAAAGAGGAGTTCCAGAGAAATATGCAGAGGTCCTTTGAGTGTATGGCTAAATATCAATTAGTATATGTGCAGAGTAAAACTATAAAGCTTGCAAAGAACAACTTGTAAGAAAAGAAAAATTACCAGAAAGTTCTAAGACAATGTGCAGAGCTCACACAGGGGTATGAATCTTTCAAGTTCCATGTAGCAAGAGCAGAGAGAGTTCAGTAATTACAAAGGCATTCTTCAGAGCCTCCAGAGGGCCATGCCTTAGAATGGGGATAATTTAGAACTAGAATGACTTTAGAGCCTCTATTAAAGAACTTAAAAACATCCTTCAAAGGATCAAACTAACTTTAAGTACCTTAACTGCTTGCTAGAAAAATCCAAAATTCTTTAAAGGAATACAATAAAACATATCACCTAGCCTAAAATCACAATGTCCAGCATGTAACCCAAATTTACCAGACATGTGAAGAAGCAGGAAAGTGTAACTAGAACCAGAAAAAATTACTCAATAAAGACAAACTCAGAAATGAAAGAGATGATAGAATGAATCAACAAGGGTATTAAATCATATAAAACAAAAATACAGGTGTGTATTTAAATAATGTCAAGAAAACATGAACATAATAAAAACATAACTGTAAGACACAAAAAACAATGGAAATTCTAGAGCTGAAAAAATATAATAAATGAAAATTTCACTGGATGAACTTAATATCAGATTAGATATTACAGATCATGTACAGATCAGAGAATTTGAAGATATAGGAACAGAATCTATCCAAATGACCTATAACACACTATTAGACAAGTAATATTATATATATATATACACACATATATATAAATATGTATGTATGATTGGAGTCCTAAAAAGACAGGAGAAACAAAAATAATCTGAGGAAATGAAAGTAAAATATCTTAAAAATTTGATGATAATTACACATCAACAAATCCAAGAATCTTAATGAATACCAAGAAGGATAAATATAAGAGTACATATACACACACCACATTAAGGATTATTACATTCAAACTGGTGAAAAACACCCAAAAACTGATGAAGGAAAGGAAACTGTAAAGGTAGGCAGAGGGGGAAACAAAGGACATATTTAGAGAGAAATAAAGGTAAGCAAATAGCAGACTTCTCATAAAAAAATATGATAAAAGATAAAAAGATAAAAGACAAAAAAATCAGTGAAATAACATATTTAAATGGTGAAGGAAAATATCAACTCAAAATCTTTGAAAAAAGGAAAGAAAAGAGGATTCTGGAAAAATGGCAAAGTAGGAAGCACCAGGAATCTGTCTCTCAACTTAAGACAAAACTGTACTGGCAGACTGTGTCTAATGTAATTATTTTGGAACTCTGGAGTATATTAAAAAGCTAGCAACTTCCAGAGGAAGACTTACATAAATTGGGGTTAATTTTGCTCAATTTCAGCTCTTAGCACATTAGCAGCTATCAACCCCCCACCCCAGCCACATGGCAAACAACTGTGTACAGTTCCAAGAGTAGCTTACACAGCAGCTGGTGAGAGCCAGGGTAGCACAAACAAACCTGTACTCCAAATATAGGGAACGTGTGTTCTGGTCACTGTTTGCTGCTTTTTGCCACAGAAGGACAGACAGAAAGGCAAGCAACCATTGTTGCACCTACTCCCACTGTTGCAAAGTCCTTCCTTTCAGGCTAAAGTGACTGCCAGGAAATTTAAAGAACTAGCACCCTTTTTACCCCTCTTCATTCTTCTCCTTTTCCCAGACATTACAGGCTAGCACATTAGAAACAGCTGCATATATGGGGAAAATTAGAAAGTGACAGTGCATTCCCAAGGAAATGATCAGAAAAACCTAAGACCTTGATTTTATGCCTCAGATTGACCCAAAGCACAGACATCCTAAGTGATGTAAAAATAACAACAACAAAAAACACAGCAAACCTTGAGGAAGGGGGAGAATCTGATTTCTAGTGTTACCACATTATTAGATTCAAATTTCCAGTTTTCAGTTAAAAAAATCACAAAGAAACATCTCACTACATTTATAGATGTGAAAGATACATGAGCATTTAAGGTCTCTATAGTTACACATTTAATGTATTAAATTTATAAGAATTCCTTAAGTATTCTGAAAATATTTCAGTCAGACAACTGCAGTACCAAAACAATATATTAAATGCATAAATGCAATTTAAAACATCTAAATTAAATGGGATTAAGTATTATTCAAAGGCCCTCAAAAATGATGGTTAAAGAGGGCACGTGTTGTGATGAGCACTAGGTGTCATATGCAACTAATGAATCATTCAAAACTACATCAAAAACTAATGATGTACTGTATGGTGGCTAACTTAGCATTAAAAAAAGGAGGAAATTAGGACAACAGACACACACAGAGGGAGAAGACAGCCATCTGTAAGCCAAGAAGAGAGGCTTCAAAAGAAACCAACCCTACCATCACCTTGATCTTGGACTTCTAGACTCTAGAATCATGAGAAAATGAATTTCTGTTGTTTAAGCAAAAAAAAAAAAAAAAAAAAAAAATGATGGTTAAAACATTAGACTTATGGGGCGCCTGGGTGGCTGAGTCAGTTAAGCATCTGACTCTTGATTTCAGCTCAGGTCATGATGTTGGGTCATAAGATTGAGCCTCTCATTGGGCTCCGTGCTAGGTGAGCAGCCTGATTAAGATTCTCTCTCCCCCCCTGCCCCTCCCCCACCTCTCTAATAAAAAAAAATTTAAAAAAACCAGACTTATAGTTGCAGGATATAAAATCAATGTACAGAAATCCATTGTATCTCTATATACTAATAATGAAGTAGCAAAGAGAAGTTAAGAAAACAATCCCATTTACAATTGCACCAAAAAATATAAAATACCTAGGAATAAACTTAACCAAGGAGGTGAAAGACCCATACTTTGATAAAACACTGATGAAAGAAATGGAAGATGACACAAATGAAAAGAATTCCATGCTCATGGATTGGAAGAACAAATACTGTTAAAATGTCTATCCTACCCAAAGCAATCTACACATTTAATGCACCCCTATCAAAATACCAATAGCATTTTTCACAGAACTAGAACAAACAATCCTAAAATTTATATGCAACCACAAAAGACTCTTGCTTTTTCTTGCATGCATGCTCTATCAAATAAGTCTTTTAAAAATTATATAAATTATATATATATATATATATATATATATATATATATATAAATAACATATACACCATACATAAAATAATGAGACATATCTAGAAAAATGTTGTTATGGCTGATGTCAGAGAAATTCCTCCCTGTGCTGTCTTCTAGGATTTTTATGGTTTCAGGTTTCACATTTAGGTCTTTAATCCATTTTAAATGTTTTTTTTTTTTTAATTCTTAAAGATTTTATGTATTTGACAGAGATAGCGAGAGAGGGAACACAAGCAGGGAGAGTGTGAGAGGGAGAAGCAGGCTTCCCACTGAGCAGAGAGCCCCATGCAGGGCTGGATCCCAGGACCCTGGGATCAGACCTGAGCCAAAGGCAGACACTTAACGGCTGAGCCATCCAGGCGCCCCTTTAAATGCATTTTCATGTATGGTTTAAGAAAGTGGTCCAGTTTCATTCTTTTGTTTGTAGCTGACCAGTTTTCCCAACAACACTATTTGTTGAAGAGACTTTTTCCCAGCAGATATTCTTTCCTGTTTTATTGAAGATTAATTTGATGTGGGAAATGTTAGTGTTCAAAGTCAATGACCAAGAAAGAGTTCTTGAGATGTCTTTGGTGCAAAAAGGTGATTTTATTAAAGCACAGGGACGGGACCCGTGGGTGGAAAGAGCTGCACTAGGGTCACGAGGAGTGGCCCGTTATATACTTTCAAGTATATACTTTCAAGTTGGAAGGGGATAAAAAGTGATGGGGATTAAGAGTACACCTCTCATGGTGAACACTGAGTAATGTATAGAATTGCTGAATCATGACGTTGTACACATGAAACTAATTTAACACTGTATGTCAACTATACTGGAATTAAAATTTTAAAACTTAATAAAAAAAGTTAGACTTATAAATGGAGTAAGTTTTTGTTTTGTTTTGTTTTGGTGCAAAATGGTAGTTTTATTAAAGCATCGGGACAGGACC